TTTCAAAGTCTCTTCTGACATCCATTTTGGGCTTTTCTTTCTTTTCTGTCTTAATGACCTCTTGCTTTCTTCACGTATGATGTCCTTGACGTCATTCCACAACTTGCCTTCAGTCATTAGTGTTCAATGCATCAAATCTATTCTTGAGATGGTCTCTAAATTCAGGTGGGATATACCCAAGGCTCTCGCGGACTTGTTCTAATTTTCTTCAGCTTCAGTTTGAACTTGCATATGAACAATTGATGGTCCGTTCCCTAGTCGGCCCCTGGCCTTGTTCTGACTGATGATATTGAGCTTTTCCATAGTCTCTTTCGGCAAATGTAGTAGATTTGATTCCTGTATATTCCATCTAGCGAGGTTTATGTTGGTGAAAAAAGGTATTTGCAATGAAGAAATCACCGGCCTTGCAAAATTCTATCATGTGATCTCCAGCATCGTTTCTATCATCAGAGCCATGTTTTCCAACTACCGATCCTTCTTGTTTCCAGCTTTCACATTTCAATCACTAGTAATTATCAATGCATCCTGATCACATATTTGATCAATTCCAGACTGCAGAAGTTGGTAAAAATCTTCAATTTCTTCATCTTTGGCCAGAGTGGTTGGTGTGTAAATTTGAAGAGCAGTCGTATTAACTGGTCTTCCTTGTAGGCATATGAATATTATCACTGACAGCGTTGTACTTCAGGATAGATCTTGAATTGTTCTTTTTGACAATGAATGCAACACACTCCTCTTCAAGTTGTCATTCCTGGTACAGTAGACCATATGATTGTCCACTTCAAGATGACCAATACCAGTCCACTACAGCTCACTAATGCCTAGAATATCAATGTTTATGCAGTCCATTTCATTTTTGACAATTTCCAATCTTCCTAGATTCATACTTTGTACGTTCCACCTTCTGATTATTGATGGATGTTTGCAGCGTTTTCTTCTTATTTTGAGTTGTACCACATCAGTAAATGAAGGTCCCAAAAGCTTGACTCCATTCACGTCTTTAAGGTCGGCTCTACTTTGAGGAGGCAGCTCTTCTCCAGTCATCTTTTGAGTGCCTTCCAACCTGAAGGGCTCATCTTCCAGCCCTATATCAGGCAGTGTTCCACTGTTATTCATAAGGTTTTCACTGGCTAATTATTTTCAGAAGTAGACTGCCGGGTCCTTCCTCCTAGTCTGTCTTAGTCTGGAAGCTCAGCCAAAACCTGTTCAACATGGATGACCCTGCTGGTAGGTATATGAATACCAGTAGCATAGCTTCCAGCATCACAGCAACACTCAAGCCCCTATAGTAAGACAAACTGACGCTTAGGGGTAGTTTGACTAAATGGTTGAATATTATAATGCTTGTCATGGATGGTTATAAAGTTTGAATGGGGATTTGAAACTATCCTAAGAACTATAATGAATATGGATTTTCATCCATGAAAATGTCTTCAACTTTGTGTTTCAACTTGGGAATGAAAGTACAGAGTCGGAATTAGCATGTACATACAAGGTCTTTCTGTCCAATCTCCTAAGAGATTGAAATCTATTCACAATGACCCACTAAACTTTCATCTAGCCTCTATTAAATAACTGGAGTGATGGGGAGAGAGATTTCTTTAGACTCCCTTACACGCATCTAGTCTAGCTCCACATGGAATATGGAATATAGAAGTATGGAATAGAGAAAAGGCAGAGTCTATGATTGTTGTTGTTGTTAGTTGCCTTCAAGTTGGCTTCAACTCATGGCTACCATATATATAACAGAACAAATTTGTCGCCCAGTCCTGCACCATCTTCATAATTTTTGGTATACTTAAGATCATTTTTGTGGCTATTGTGTCAATCCATCTCGTTGAGAGTTTCTCTCATTTTCACTGACCCTCTACTTTACCAAACAAGATGTTCTTTTCTAGCAATTGTTTTTTCCTGATGATGTGTCCAAAGTAGGCAAGCCAAAGTCTCATCATCCTCGTTTCTAAGGAGCATTCTCGTTGTATTTTTTCTAAAATTGATTTGTTCATTCTTCTGGAAGTCCACAGTATATTCAATACTCTTCACCAACACCACAGTTTAATGCATCGATTCGTCTATGGAGTTCAGTCTAAATCAGTCAGGGTTGTTTATGACGGTAATTTTTCAAAAAGGGAAGTTTCTGAAACTATAGCACAAAAGTCTGTTTCCAGAATACAAGTCCAAAGACAGAGTGAAAAAAACACTGAAGAGACAGTAACATAGATTTTCAAACTAGAAGGGTAAACTCGGATGAAAGCAGGAGGAATGAAGTAAGCGTCAGATCACAGTTGAACAGAAACTAGTTGAGGTATAGTTTCATGTTTGACAGATTTAGGGACTGATTCCACATCAAAAAGAAGTGTGCCTGCCGAAGTGTTCATCTTATGGGCAGCTTCATGAATTTCAATCAGCAGAGGTCCATTTTTTCAAGAAAACAAAACACTCAAGAGCAGAGCTCATGTCCTCAAGTATTTAGTCCAGTCCAAAGATCCTTTCATCACAAGAGAACATCTCCTAAACTGTTTACCAAAAATGGAAAAGTTTAGAGTGGTGAGCTGTGACCAATTGCTGGCCTATAGAAATAGGATCTCTCATAATTCTTCCAATTTTACTTCTTCCAATTGAAGTAGAATCAAAGATAACAATATTTAAGGTAATCAAAATGTAATGAACAGAGACACAGAACTTGGAAACATCTACATCACCTACGTAAACTACCTACAGAAATAGGGAGACTTGTTTAAGATCACACAATGAGATGGTGGCACAGTGAGAAACAAAACTCATGTCTCCTGATTGTGAAGCTGGTGTTTTCACCCTCCACTGTGTTTCACAATCATAATATCCTTGCTAAATATTGTTACATCATAGAGTCCTCTTCTTCAATAAAACATATGATACCCAGGAGGTGGGAAGTTGGAACTTTCTGTCAAAACAGGTAACTATAAAGACATATATGACATACATTTGTCTTGTGGTAACAGATTTCATATTTGCAACAAAGTCTCATGAGTAAGGTAAGTAGTTTAGCTGAGAAATCTAATGATTTCTCTTTTCTTACATGCCTTATGCTTAAGCCATCTCTGAAAGCAGTTTGCCAAGAGAAGTCTCAGATATATACTTACTGATGTTAAATTCAAGTAACTAATTATATAGGCAATTTTTAATAGTGAATTCGTTTATTGATGTATTTTACCATGTGCTTTTGGAAAAAAAATCTGCACTTAATTACTGCTAAGGAGCCCTGGTTGCCCAGAGGTTAAGAGCTACAGCTGCTAAAAAGGTGGGCAGTTTGAATTCACCAACTGCTGCTTGGAAACCCTATGTGGCAGTTCTACTCTGTAAATAGGGTCACTTATGAGTCAGAATTGACTCAATGGCAATAAGTACGACATATAATAAAAAAAAAAAGTTTTAAAAAAACAGACCATAACTAAGTACTAGAACCAAAGAATTATGTATATAATGAAAAGATCACAAGATGTGGAGTGAGAATATTTGAGCTCAAGGCTGACTTATTTGTTCTATGATCTAATTATTTAAATTTTATGACCCTCATTTTTTTTTCTGTAAAATAATAACACTAACTAAATTTCAGTTTTATAGGGTCATTGTGACCACCAAAAGACACTCCAAAATTTCACATAGGTTTAAATTCAATTAATTTTTATTACTGACAACTTTAACTCAACAGAAAAAGAAGCCCATATAATTTTAAACATTAGGTATATTGACTGTGTACTGAGAGAGTATTAGAAAGTATTTTCTTTCTAAACTGTATTCTGCACTGTCCTAGATACCAGTAGGCAATACAGGTTTTGAGTACCAACAGCTTACATGTGCAGGTCTGTTATACAACTCTGCAACCAGAGAAGAGAATTTTCAATTTGCTACAAAACAAGAAAGGCTTTAATATAAATGCTGCCTTTGATTCTGATACCATCTGAAATGGTTGAAAGAGCATGGAATTTGGAATTAGAACAATGCAGATGCATATAGCTCTGCTCTGACCTTGTGCTTATCATTTAGTCCTTTTCAACTTATTTTTTTCTTCATCTGTAAAATAAGAATAATTGCTGCAAAGTGCAATGTGATGGATCACTTTTGTGTGGCCTTTCTAGCCATGGTCTTGTAACTCCCACCCAAATGATTGAGTGGGACTGTGTGATAGGTTAATTGTGGCCCACCAAAGGGATTGGTCAGTTTTGCCATCTTGCTGGGCTTGAAATGAGCCATCCCAGAGGGGGGAAAAAGAAGATCCCACCACCACCAAGTAAGAACAGTCAGGAGCCGGCACATCCTTTGGACCCAGTATCCTTGCACTAAGAAGCTCCTGGAAGCTGGAAACTGACAGAGAGTGAGCTGTAACCCTGCAGACAGTGAGAAGCAGTGGCAGGAAAGACCTAGCAGGAGAGATACAGCAACAGAACAGACCTAGGATCAGAAGAGACCTGGCAGCAGGAGATAGCTCAGTGGGCTTCCTGGCCCACGGAGAAAGTTGAGTGTCTTTGGGCAGAGGCCTAGGGTCAGGGAGAGGCGTGCCTGAGAGTTCAGTGTGGAAAAGGCTGTCTTGATGGAAGAACTGAATCTTGAATGTTCCTGAGTTGGAATTATAACTGTTACTTCCCTAATAAACTCCATAATCATGAGTATTGTTTACGAGTTCTGTGTGGCCACTGCAGTGAATTATCGAACCCAGCAGAGAAGTAGAGAGTGCCATGGGAGAGTCTGCTGGTGTCAGAGTTAGTAAAGATGCCAGACAGTGGAGGCTCGTCTGACCTCTGCAAGGAATCAGGCTTGGGCTGTTGATTTTAATTCTCCTTCCACTTGTGAAGTTAGAGGAGGTCAGGCACCACCTCCATGCCATTCTTACACAAAGGTTCTATGGGAGTTAAGTGATATATGTTGGAAAGATAGTACTTATCTATATACATAGATACATATACATGTAACATAAAACAAAAATGTAAAGATTATGATAGAAATAAATTCTTCATATTGGGTCATTTATTACCTGAAATTACATTCCTGTTCAATAACATTCTGATGGCATTTTTTACCTCTGCATTCCTTACTGTGTAGATAATGGGATTTAACATGGGAGTGACAAGGGTGTAGAATACAGTTATGGCTTTATCCATGGAGAAGGTGGCTACTGGTCGCAGATACATAAAAATACAGGGCACAAAGAACAAGACAACAACGGTGATGTGGGAGCCACAGGTAGAGAGGGCCTTTTTCCTCCCTGTAGAGCTGTGAGTCCTCAAGGAATACAGAATGACGACATAGGATATCAACAACATTACAAAGGTTATCAAAGAGATTACTCCACTATTGGCAGCAACCAAGAGACCAACAAGGAAAGTGTCTGTGCAGGCAAGTTGTATCAGGGGGAAGACATCACACACGAAGTGATCCATGATGTTGGGGCCACAGAATGGGAGCCAGAAAGTGACAACAATCTGTCCAATAGAGTGGAGAAAACCCACTGTCCAAGATACTCCCACCAAAAGGCAGCATAGACGGTAGTTCATGATGGTCACATAGTGCAGAGGTCTACAGATGGCCACATAGCGGTCATAGGCCATGACCACAAGGAGGGCAATCTCAGAAGCACCTAAGAAATGTTCAGTAAAGATCTGTGTCATGCAGCCTTTGAAGGATATGGTTTTTGTCTCAGAGATCAAATCAGCTAGCATTTTAGGGATTATGGAAGAGGAGTAGCATGCATCTATCAAAGATAAGAAGGCCAGGAAGAAATACATCGGGGATTTCAAAGTCTGGCTGAAGATTATGGTGACCACAATGAGCAGGTTGCCTGTGACAATGACAATGTAGGTGATAAACAACACAACAACTAGAATTCTCTGAATCTGAGGAGTCTGTGTAAGTCCTATTAGAATTAATTCAGTCACATTCATCCTGTTTTCTTTCATTTCAGTGCTGATGATGAACTCAGAAGTTGGGATTATCCTGTAAAGACAACATTCTTAATAGCAGGGTAATGAGCATTTTATATTTTGTGTTTTCAAATAAAACCAAAGCATTTTAATAATATAAACTCTTTTCTTTCATGGTATACAGGAAGAGAAAAAATATGCTACTTTTTCTATTTTACCAAAAGATTAGAACCATTGAGCCTGTCTAATCCAGCATCTTCTATTGATGCTGGAATTTCATCTACAACATCTTCTGCCAAGTGGTCACTGGGCATTTGCTGGAGGACATCCAGACACAGGGGGCTCATCATGTAATAAACCTAATTCCTTCTCAACCAGAAAGAAATGTTAGAGAACTCATATGTGTGTGTATGTGTGGAGCCCTGGTGGCACAATGGTTAAGCACTCGGCTGCTAACTAAAAAGTCAATAGTTCAAACCTACCAATCGCTCTGTGGGAGAAAAGACCTGGCAATCTGCTCCCATAAAGATTTCAGCCTAGGAAACCATATGGGGCAGTTCTACTCTGTCATATAGGGTAGCTATGAGTCAGAATCAACCTCACAGCACACAACACCACACACACATATATGTATATATACATATATATATATGGAAACTCTGCTGGCGTAGTGGTTAAGAGCTACGGCTGCTAACCAAAAGGTCGGTAGTTCAAATGCACCAGGCACTCCTTGGAAACCCTATGGGGCAGTGCTACTCTGTCCCATAGGGTCGCTGTGAGTCGAAATTGACTCAATGGCAGCACATTTGGTTTATATATATACATATCTGTATACAAGAAGCACTGGTGGAGCAGTGGTTAAGAGCTATGGCTACTAACCAACTATTGGTTCTGGTTTTACACACTGTTGATACACAGATTAAGACCAAATCATCTCGCTCTTCCATTCAAAAGCCCTTTAAATAAGCCCCAGAGAAGAAAAGCTGTATCTGCCTTCTTCATCTCTTTATCCTCAGATCTACCTCAATGTTTGACCCAGATCAATAAATATTGATTAAGTGTACAAATAAGTTGTAAGACACATTGCTTATTTCTTCTATGTTTTCCTTTTTCCAAAATAGGAGTGTTCACCATCTTACTTAGAAAAATCATTGAATTAAGTTTTGGAAAGTGAACTAGATATATCCCTCTCACCCCTTCAGATCTATTCTCACTCTTCTCCCCATGGGGGTCTTCCATGGTGTTCTTCAACCAGGCCTCTTTACTCTCCACGCAACAGGAAGTACTAGATGAATGTTAGAGGACAGGGTGGGAAGAAAAGAATGTCAGGGTTTATTCTCCTGGGTCTCTTCCATGGTTTATCAATAACAGGATACCTTTAACTAGGGTCACAGCTTTTGTTGGGTGGGCGTCTCCTACAGTTATATTTCCTTTTGTAATCATTTCTTCCTCTCTTTCCCTCAGGCCTAATTGTGGCAATGGTTTCCTACTGGTACCTAGCCCTGGGATGCTTTATCATCATCCCTTATTAATTTCCCTTAACCTTCTTCATACCTTGATAAATAATCTTCATTAAACTTTTTTTAATCTGCCCTTTTGAGTATGTTGTTTCTTGTCAGGACTCCAGTGGATATAGAAAGTTTGTACTTTTCCTTTGTAAATAATAGAAATAAACGGAAAAATAGTTTTTCTTTTATATAATTTTGTTATTTAAAAATTATCTGTACTTTTTTTGATGTATAGCTGCAAGAGAAATTTAACTTCTGTCAAGAAAAAATTGTGAAAGACTTTGAAATATAAAAAGATTACTGGTACCTTCAATGAAAGCTATGTGTTGTCTATAGAAGTCCCTTTGGGGTTATATGATTCTACGAGGTTTATGCCTTTCACTGTCTTTGAGATATTTTACAACTCTTCCAGCTATAGAAAACTGATAATGTCAAATAATTCTTGTCCATAAAACTGAAAATGTTGTCTGATGGATGTTCAATTGATTTCCCTCAATCACTGTGGTTAAAGTCAATTTTGCATCTATTTGTAAATTCATTACACATCGCTGATGGAACAAGTTTGATACACTGGATTCTCCTTTAAATGAATTATACCATATTACTGGTTCCCTCATTAACTAATGTGTAAATAAAAGCTTTGTCACGTGTTCATTTTATATTTGTATGAGAGTCATGATTCTAACTTTTCTGTAAAAGTCTTTTGTCTTTGTATATTACAGTCACTTAGAGAAAAAGCTGAAAAACTCACAAAAATCCAGATTCTTTTACTCTGTGTATTATTGCATCATCGGTTTTTCTGTTTTATTTTATGGGAGGGAAAGTTGTTTTAATCCATTTATAAAATTTCTTTCTAAGATTTTGAAGTCTAATAGAAACAAGATATGATATTAGAGAACATTTTTATCAGTCCCTCAACTCCATCTGACACAAAGTTGATGAAAGTGAATATCCTCATTAATCTAAATAAAACCTATGGGGTCTGGGGAGAAGTGGGGGAAGATTACCTAATGAAATATAGTTTTAACCTCCATTTAATAAGTAATTTACCAAAAATTTATTAATCATCTGCTATGTGCCCAACACTCTAGAAAGTTGGAATATAGCAGTGAATAAAGCAGATAAAGTCTCTACTCTCATATAGCTTACATTCTAGTAGGGGGAGACAGAAGATAAGCAAATAAAAACAAAAGTATATAGTATTTCAGATTGTATATCTGCTATGGGGAAAATTAAGCAGGGTGATGGATATTTTGAATCTGGGAGAGGGGTGTTATTTTCTATAAGGTAGTCAGAGAAGACTTCATTGAGAAGGGAACGTGTAAACGAGACTAGAAAGAAGTGAAGAAGGATTAAAGAAGACATCTAAGGAAAGAACATTTCAGACAAAAAAATCAGTAAGTGAAAACACTCTGAGAAGGGAGTGTGGTTGGTGTCATTGACTAAAGGGGGTCAGTGTGGCTGGAGTGGAATGAACAAGGATTGATAAGCAGCAGGTTTTTTAGGGCTTTGTGGATTATTCTAAGGGGTATGATTTTATTCTAAGTGAAAAACAGCCATTGAAAGGTTTTGCACAGCAAAATGGTCTGACATAATCTTAGAACTGATCATTCTGGCTACTAAGTGGCAAATAGAGGGGCAATAGTAGAAGCAGGGAGATTATTAGTTAGGAAGATATTGTAACAATTCAGCAGAAATGTGATGGTGATTTGCACCAGGATGGGAGCAGTAGAGGTAGATGTATTATGATGGTAGCTCCAGTGGAACCTGCTGATGGACTTGATGTGGGGTGTAAGAAAGAAAGAAGAATAAAAATTATTCCAAAGTTAGACTCTACCCCCTGAAAGACAGTGTTGCCCTTTATTGAGACAACTTCACCTACAGATGCCATGATTAACATGGCTAACATTTACCTGAATGCTTTTCAAGTGCCAGGCACATTTAATTCTTGTATTAATATTGAGTCATACACTATTATTATCCTTATTTAATACATGAAATAACTAAGATATAGAGATGCTAAGAAGTTTTTTGATGTTGGTTAGTAGGTTGTAACCCTAGCCTTACACTGAAGTAAAGAGCTAACAAAGGTAATTCTGTAAAATGTGCTTAACTTCCGAATCTCTCAACTGTTTTCTGTCAAATGAGGACAGCTAGCTTGAAGGGTGGCTGTGAGAGTGACGAGCCTACTAGCTCTGCAATTGGGCCAAAGTAGGTGCACAATCAATATCAGCTACTTTTATTCTTATTGAAATTTTTAAGATGAGGGTATCTTTACTGACTGTGAGAGTGGATAACATATGACTGTGACTATTAAAATTACAGTGTTCTTTCTCTGAGGCTGTATCTCTGCCACCCAAAAGCAACTGCTCATAAAAAAGAATGAGGACACGTTTTTCTCTCATTTATCTGCAAGATTTTTAACCACCCAGCATGAATTTTTTTTTTCTTCTTCTTTATCAAAGTTATTATAAGCTGTTTCACACACACACACACCACGACCACCACCACCACCACCAGAATTAATGGTTAATTTTGGCATTGAGTAGATAGAGGCAGAATTTGTCACATGACTAGTGTTTTAATATGAATGTCACATCTAATTTTCTGACATCTGTATTTAGATTTACTTACAAGGGTTGTCACTCACTGATACCCTTCCTTTCAATCTCATTTTTTTTCTACGTTATTGTTCAGCATTCTCCACCTCTACTGTCCACTGGTCTCTATCCCCTTCTCATAACTTTCTTCTCTCTACTCGTGTTTTTGTGATCTCAGAGTGAGTCCTGAGAAAATTAAGGACTGAAGAAATTAAGCCTACTTTCCCTACAGAAGATATGAAAATATTTTATAAATTATAAAGTTCTATGTAAAGGTTAGACATTATTATTACATGCAATGATCAAAAACTAATATTAATTGATTGGTTCTTATATTCTTATATGCTTGGCACCGTGCAAAGCACTTTATATAAATTACCTCATTTAATGTTTTTTTAAAAGCACTACGTGTAGTAGGAAGGTTATTCCTTCTATTTTACATACAGGAAAATTGAGACAAAGAAAGAGCCTTCTACCCCAGGACATATGGTTAGTGAGGAGCAGATCTGAAGATCTAATTCAAATCTCTCTGGCCTCAAGTCTTGCTCTTGACCTTGACATCATATTATCTCCCATGTAAAAACTTACCTAGGTAGTTAGCATGATCCTTCTTTAATATTCATCTATCAACAAAGGCTTTGACTCTCATCCTAACTCATGGAGGCATAAAAATGAATTCAAAAAACACTTAGGGATTTGAACTATGCCAATCTCTCTACTTCCCCTGAGAATTTCCCATCTTCCCTCTCAGCAGAATTTAGAATGAGAATTTAGAACTACTTATATACTTATTTGAGATCCTAGTGGCACAGTGGTTAAGAGCTACAGCTGTTAACCAAAAGGTTGGCAGTTCAGATCCACCAGCTGCTCTTTGGAAACCCTATGGAGCAGTTCCACTCTATCCTATAGGGTCGCTAGGAGTTAAAACCTACTCGAAGGCAATGGGTATATACTT